AAAAAAAAAAAAAAAAAAGTTTTTACATGCTGATAGTAACAGTATTTAAGTGTAACAACCACATAACATATATTTAGATGTTTTCAACTACTGTTCATTTTGAAACCTGCTTTTAATAACTAATATTTTTAAGCTAGTCTAAAACCTATTTTGACTGTTTCCAATTTAAGAGGAAACATAGCTGCTGTCTCAACATGTAACTCTTCTTTGACCCCTCATATATTTCAAAGGTTAAATAATGAATTCCAGGGTTTTCAACCATGTTCACCATAAAAACAGAAGTTATCTCTTTAATAGTTCTGTAAACATGTATCACTCTGGTTTTCCTCAAAATAGTTTTATTCAGTAAAAAATAATATGGTATACAGTCTCTACTTACTAAAAGGCCAGGCTTTTTAGAGACACTCTACACCGTGTGTCTGTTTAATATCCTATTACAAACATAAGATTACCTAAAATTAGAAAACACACCTTACAATGACATCCCAATCCCACCCAGGATTGTTTATGGTTAGCCATCAATCTCACTTTTCCCTGACCAAAGTGAATTAGGAGAGTGATAAGTATCTCAATGGAAAGGGAGTAATGTCCAATTAAAGACATTAAACATGAAACCAAAGAATGTGAAATCTCACTAGTGCCATCTACAGCACCAATGAAGAATACAGGTAAGGATTTTTAAAACAATATGTATGTGTCCAACCCTTTGATTCCCTGTCCAAAACTATGTATCAAGACAGCTTTCTACCAAATCCTTCACAGAATATAAAATACATAATTAGTTAATACAAAAAAATCTTCAAAATCAAGAAAACCTGAAGCATAATGCTGATGTTCGTGTATGGATCAAAAGAACAATTTTTCATAAGAGGTAATGAAATGAAAGCACACAGAATTTATTAAAACTAGACATAGTGAGATAATTGATCCAGTCAGGGCCAGGCATGGTGCCTCACACCTGTAATCCCAGCACTCTGGGAGGCCGAGGTGGGTAGATCACTTCAGGTCAGGAGTTTGAGACCAGCCTGGCCAACACAGCAAAACCCCATCTCTACTACAAGTACAAAAATTAGCCAGGTGTGGTGGCATCTGCCTGAAACCCCAGCTATTCAGGAGACTAAGGCAGGAGAATCAGTTGGGAGGCCGAGAATGTAGTGAGCCAAGATCATGCCACTGCACTCTAGCCTGGGCAACAAAGCAAAACTCTGCCTCAAAAAAAAAAAAAAAAAAAAAAAAGATCAAGTCAGATGCAGAGCAAAAATTCAAGAATCTGAGTTCAAATGGATTACAAGGCCTCAGAGCAAACCTTACCTTACATTCAACCACACTCTGATCTGATTCGCAAGTTACGTAGATTTCATCTACTGCTCGGCGAAGATTATCAAAAAGAAATGCCCAGTATCGAGCTCTTAGATCAATTTTCCGAGGGTGCCTTGTTTTAGTGGGACTTTTGTCAAAGTGTTTATCTCCGGCTGTAGATGATGTTATTTTACAGTCCACTGCAGTACTCTGGTGAAATAAAATAAAACATGAAGAGAAATAAATAAAAGGACTTCCAGGGACTGGATTTTCATATAAGTACATTTTTAACATAAATACTTAAAAATAAGACATTCTTATTTTCTGCTTATATCACATGTGAGTTCATCAAAACAAGTTTCTCACCTTAAAAGGAACAGATTTGTGAAGTCAACTTTTATTTCAGACATGTCTTAATAAAGATTGGGATGACTTTAACAGTGAAGAGAATGTCAGCAAAACTGGAGCACTCCAGTTATTCATGATTTACTAGAATGTATGCATGGCACATTTAAATATATTCACAAATAACAACTGCATATATTGTTTTCATCTAGAAATGCCATGTATTATAGCTATGTTATTTTATTTTCTTAAACTATTTTTCCTCTAAATGTAAAATTTAACATATAGATAAGAAATAACTTACTAGAGAAGAAAACAGAAAGAATAAAACCAAGCTCCAGCTACAGCCAAAGCAGACTCACCAAATAATATAACTTTAGTGTTCTCATGACCCATTATTTCTTCACTTCCTGAGGCAGACTTTGAAAGTAGAGAAAGTATAGTCTGTACTTTTACAGAACACACCACAGGATCATTCCACCAAAACCCCGAGCATGCAATTTACTGATAGTAAGACCTAAATTAAAAACTCAAACCTAAACCTTCTCACTAGAAACACAAAGGAGCTGCTTATCACTATGTAGTTACTTAAACTAAAATAATAAAATAAAATAAATAATGAAATGAAATGCTAACCTACACTTGGACCAACAAACAATCTCACATCATTTGTCTGGGTTTTTCTTCTTTGTTCTTTTCTTTTTAATAGTAGAGCCCCAGAGTAGAGAAAATACACATACACACACACATACACACACACACACACACACACACACTCACTCTCTCTCTCTCTCTCTCTCTCTCTCTCAAGAGTTCCAGATGAAGCTGCTCATCCTCCCTCTCCCTCTCTAGTTCCCCATCCAGACTACTGTTGGCATATACAGCAAATAAAAAATAGCAAATCTAGGCCCATCAATGAAGATGGGAAAAGTCATCTCTTTGTCAACACTAAAGCGTTAAACTTTAAAGATATTTTCAACAGCCCACAAAACCTGTACCTCAATTGCTCTCCAAGTTCTTTCCAGTACTAAATGGTAAATGATTTAATTAGCATGGAAATATTCCCTTCTTGGATTAACCAAATTCGAATTCCCTTTCAACTGGCATCTGTTCCAAAGCAAAGCTTTCTTCCATTACTTTGCTGATAACTACGACAATAACAATATATACAGAACTATACAGCCAGCCCACCATATCCATGGGTTCAATATCCATGGATTCAATCAACTACAAAACTATTCTAGAAATAAAAAGCATCATCTGTACTGAACATGTATGGACTTTTTTCCTGTCATTATTCCCTAAACAATATAGTTTAACAACTATTTATATAACATTTACATTGCAGTAGGTATTACAAGCAATCTAAAGATGATTTAACGTCTATGGGAGGATATGCATAGGTTATATGCAAATACTACACCATTTTATATAAGGGACTTGAACATCCAAAGATTTTGATATCCGTGGGAGATTCATACGGTTAGGCTTTCTGTCCCAACCCAAATCTCATCTTGAATTATAATCTCCATAATCCCCATGTGTAAAGGGAGAGACCAAGTGCTAACTGAATCATGGAGGCGGTTTTCCGCATCCTGTTCTCATGATAATGAGTTCTCACAAGATCTGATGGATTTTTTAAGGTGCTCTTCCCTGCTTCGCTCAGCAGTTCTTCCTGCCACCTTGTGAAGAAGGTGGCAACCCTTGCCCTTGCTGTCTCCAGGCTGGAAAGAATTTGTGGGAGACCAGGAGCTGGTCCAGACCCCTAGCACAGAGCAACCACCTCGCAGAAAGGCGGCTGTACTGTTCACACAGATCTCAGATGTCACTTCTCCTCATGGGGCAGGGCCACCTGACCTGGGACTCCAGCACAACCACCCTGCCCCCACCTAATCACTGCAAGCAGAGACAGCCCAGCATTTCTCCAAAGAGGAAATCCCAGAGTCAAGCCACAACCTCTCCGCCACTACAGTTGGAGTGGTACAGCCCTAACAGCTCTTGGACTGGGGGGTAAAAAAGGGCCTACCTGGCACCTCTAGCACACCACAGCCACCATACAGAGAGGAGTGCAGCCCCTCTTCCCTAGGACCCCCACAGCCTTCACTAGTCAGGGCCCACGGCTCATGAATGCAGAATAGTCGCCCCAGTCATAGCTGAGCATACACACTGGTAGTGACATGGAGTTTCCCTGGGAAGAGGCTCCCAAAGGCATACGACAGCACCTCTGCCAGTGCCACAGTAACAGTGCTATCCCTGCTGCCCTTGGTCTGCGACAGAAACAAAGAGCCTGAGGGCTACACCCAAGCTTACCGTAGTACACCACAGCCACCATATGGAGAAGAGACCAACCTCTCCTCCCTGTGAGCCTTCAACTTCCTGCTCCCCAACAAGTGGAACCCCAAGGTCATACCAGCAGTGCAGCTGCCCCATCCCACTGGCTAAACACCCTCAGTAACAGTGGCTCCACATTTCTTGGAGGTGGAGCCCCCAGGAGCAACCAAAAGCCTCTCTGCCACTACCTCTGCCACGGAACAGTCCTTGCTACCCTCAGACTAACAAAGGAACAAACACCCAAAGTACCTTATCCACATCTTCGACAAACCGCAGTCAACACAAGGAGAGAAGGCCACTCTGTCTCCCACCCACCCCCCTGCTCATCAACAGACAGGGAACTCCTAGCCTGGGCCCACAGCACAGAACCATCATCCTGTGATGCCACTGCTAAAGTCTCTTCCTCTCCTGGCTCCAAGTTGGGGAGGAAACAGAAACCCTGAGATCATCCCAGAGCTGCAATGGGCAGCCTGGGAGTGTTAAGCCACAATCTAAAGCAGTGGGAGAGGAGCCCACACTTTGAGAGCATTGACAGGGAGCACAGTTACAACTGCGAGGAAACCACCCGACCAAGGAAGAACCTATCGACTGACCAATACACTTATGCACCACCTACTGGATCACATCACAAAGCTTCAACACCAAAAACACACTCCCATATTAGTCTGTTCTCACACTGCTACAAAGAAATACCCAAGACTGGATAACTTATAAAGGAAGGAGGTTTAATTGACTCACAGTTTCACATGGCTGGAGAGACCTCAGGAAACTTACAATCATGGCAAGGGCAAAGGAGAAACAGGAAACTTCTTCACAGAGTGGCAGGACAGAGTGAGTGCCAGCAGGGGAAACACCAGAAGCATATAAACCCATCAGGTCTCGTGAGACCCACTCACTATCACAAGAACAGCATGGGAGAAACCACCACCACGATCCAATCACCTCCTCCTGGTCCTGCCCTTGACATGTGGGAATTATGAGGATTACAATTCAAGGTGAGATTTGGGTGGAAACACGGAGCCAAACCACATGGTTAACAATACCCATCCCCGTGAAATCAAACAAAAGAAGTCAGCAACAAAGACCTTGCACAAAGCTTTGGTCCTGTGAAAACATCCAGAAAAGAAGTCTATTAACTCTACTCAAACTACACTACAGTTAAAGAAACACCCACACTCAGAGAAAAGAAAGAACCAATGTAAGAACTCCAGTAACTCAAATGGCCAAGGTGTCATATGTCTTCAAATGACATCAGTTCTCTAATAAGGGTTTTTAACCAGGCTGAGCTGGCTGAAATGACAGAAATAGAATTCAGAATATGAATGGAGCCTGTAATCCCAGCACTTTGGGAGGCCGAGGGTGGTGGGTCATCCAAGGTCACGAGTTCAAGACCAGCCTGGCTAACACAGTGAAACCCCATCTCTACAAAAATACAAAAATTAGCTGGGCATGATGGTGGGTGTCTGTAATCCCAGCTATTTGGGAGGTTGAGGTGGGAGAATCACTTGAACCCAAGAGATGGAGGTTGCAGTGAGCAGAGATTGCGCCACTATATTCCAGCCTGAGTGAAAGAGCAAGACTCTGTCTCAAAAAAATATATATGTGTGTGTGTGTGTGGGGGGGGAGGGGGGTGTCTGTATACATACATATATATATATGGATAGGAACAAAGATCACTGAGATTCAGGAGAAGGACAAAACCCAATCCAAGGAAACTAAGAATCACTATAAAATACAGGAACTAAAAAATGAAATAGCCAGTATAAGAAAGAACCTAACAGATATGACAGGGCTAAAAAACACACTATAATAATTTCACAATGTAATCACAAGTATTAACAGAATAGACCAAGCTGAGGAAAGAATCTCAGAACTTGAAGACTCAGTTTCTGAAATAAGACCAACAATAAAAATAAAAAAAAAAAAAGGAATGAACAAACCTCTAAGAAATACGGGATTATGTAAAGAGGTCAAATCTATTAATCACCGGCATCCCTGAAAAGGATGGGGAGAAAACAAACAACTTGAAAAAATACTTCAGAATAGTATCCATGAAAACTTTCCCAACCTTGATAGAGAGGCCAACAGTCAAATTCAGGAAATACAGAGAACCTCTGCAAGATTCTACACAAGAAGATCATCCCCCCAAGACATATAATCATCAGATTTTCCAAGGTTGAAATGAAAGAAAAAATGTTAAAGGCAGCTTTAACAGAGAGAAAGGGCAGGTAACCTACAAAGGGAACCTCATAAAGCTAACAGCAGACTTCTCAACTACAAGCCAGAAGAGAATGAAGACCTATCTTCAACATTTTTAAAGGAAAAAAAAATCTTCAACCAAGAATTTCATATCCAGTCAAACTAAGCCTCCTAAGCAAAGGAGAAATAAGATCCTTTTCAGATAAGCAAATGTTGAGAGAGTTTATCATGACCAGTCCTGACTTACAAGAGATCTTGAAAGCAGCACAAAATATAGAAAGGAAGGACTGCTACCAACCAATTCAAAAACGCAGACCAGGGACACTATAAAGCGA